CTAATGACGGTTACCATGGTAACCCGTTGTCAGTCCAGAAGAAGTCAACTTTTGTAAGTGAAAGGCAGGAGTCCTTGCCACATGATAACAGCTTAAGATTTCATTTTTAAAACTCTATAGCCAAGCTATTGATGCTTTTTTCACCTATAATGAAGTAGTTACAATTCTTCCACAATTGAATTAATGGTTTAGTCTTGGGGTCACTGTGGTCCGCCCCATGGAGAACCCAAACTTGTTTCTGATATAATGTATACAAAGTTCTAAGCCATACCTGTGCCCAAAATCAGCCAATTCTATTTGCATTTTAAGCGGCCATGGTTCGCCAAAGACGTCCCAAAAATGGGTTTGTCTTTAAACGTGTACTACAGCTCTCCACAAAAACATTTTGAGAATAACTTGATGTCATTTCCTTTGTTAAAACGTGGATAATAAAATATGTTAGTGACAATAAAATATGTGTTACTTTCTGTGAGATACAGAAGGTCAAAGATGGTCTATTTTAGGCGAGACTGATGCCTTCACAAGGTGAAAATCCGCCATTTCGAAAAAAGACCGTCGCCATGGCAACCAACAACCAGTGAACCAAAACTTTCCCATCCCTACCACCACACAAAATTTAAGAGAATTTTATTTTTTTTAGTTCGGCCACCTTATGCTTGGTTTTTATAGACAACAGCTCTTAAAGCTCTGTGATATATTAAAAACCACTACCTGCTTCAATATTCTTCTTTTTGATATTATGATAATTGAGGATATATATAACTATCTCTGTAAACAGATGACTTGTTGTGGCGCAATGTGGAGTGCAAACTAGTTCATGGGTTACATTAGGAATTATTCTCAGCCCATAGAGTTATATTGCTATTAATGTTTCCAAATGTTTCAAAAATAGAGAAGGAAGGGCAACTAACAGTAGATGATAGGTAGTTTATAGTATTATTGTAATGTATAGATTCCTAGAACTTTGCAATAGAATATAGTGTACCAGTATAAAATACTCATGTTTTACATACTGGATATCCTCTTGTACATTAAGCCCATCTGGGCATGCAATAAAGATTCATATCATTATCATTAATCAGGTTAGAACAAGAGCCTCCCAGAGCCAACTCATGAATATTTACTTAGGTTGGTCGCCCATATATAGATACATGATACGTCAAAAACGTTTGATACGTCAAAAACATTGTTACCAAAATTACAAGCGTCTGTCTCCCCGCTCGAAATCAATTTGTTGGAAATAACACTGGATTGGAAGGCTCACTGGTCCAGGTCAGGAATGGTTTTAGATGTCCCCATCGCTGAGCAGACGGTCATCACACGTGAGGATGTTTCTTTGGTCATGTGTACATTGAACCATATAAAGGATAGGAAAAGTGGTACACAATCAACCATCTTTAACAACTGGTAACGTTTTCTTTAATACCACAAGAGACGGAGAAGTTATGAGGGAGAAACGCTCCAAAGGTGTAGTTCTGTCGCCCGTCGCGTGATCGGAACAGAGAGAGGCAGAGAGGTAATCTATTTAGAGTGTTGATTCGTAAGGATGGTATACTTTACGAAATCCGTGTACGTAAGTGGTGAGACCAGGAGAACATACAGTTCAGATAATATTATAGGAAAGTAGTTATGCAGCGAAGAGGTGTACCCGGGTAACACACAAAGGTGAGTCAAGGTCAGGTCCTGGACGGAGAAAACAAGCCCTGCCAAATTTCGGCAGTTGTGCTGCAGGTTGACACAGTGACACTCAATTGTATAGCGATATCGTCCCATTGAATTATGCTCTCAGATGTTTCGGCAATTGGGGAAAAGGCCGGTGGGTGTTTTACCCTTAAGAAAAATAGCAAGGCCTTGTTCATATGAAACCAGCCGAACCGCGATTCGGGTAACTCGCATTCCTCACATCTGGTCCACGTACCATACATTCCTTTCAAACCGTGCCCGATCACGATTCTCTGAAACTGCATTCATTGTTGTTTGATGAACACATGCAAGGTAGCGTGTTATTAATGTGTTATTAATGTCAGAGGTCAACGACCTGCTTGCTGGTGCCCCCTCCCAGCGTATCTCGGCCGAATGCCGACGTGGTCCCGCCAGAGGCGGTGAAGCTCGTCCTAGAACGGACACATTATTCGACCATTACTGCTCTTTAACCCTATCTAGACCGGGGGGGCTAAAAGTGCCCGCGGCAACTTTGATGTCACATAGCGTCTGAACGGCTAGAGCTAGAACCGCCAAACTTGGTGACTTTTCCTAAAATATTGTTGGCAACAAATCTGTATCATTGGAATAAGATTATGGCAGGCAACGGGTTTCTGACAGGCATTTTTTGCCAAATTTAATAATTTCCATTTAAACAACAGAATTTTATGGGTTTTATGTCAAGTTACACATTGTTTCTAATATTAATAACATCACATATAATTATATGTAAATTTTATCATTAAAAATGCATAATTTATGCTAATTTGATGACGTCATTGGCCAAAATCCAAGATGGCGGACCATATCATTATATCAGGTAAATACAGCTTATTTTCCTTAAAATTTCATCAATACTCCCATTTCTTTTTCTAAAAAAGGTTTAAATGAAGGTCTTTAGTCTGTTTACAATGTATTT